TTAGCGGTGCCCCGAAATTGGCCAGAATCACTGAACCAGGTTTGCCGCAGGCGGTGTGTTTTTTCGGGTGGCGGCAGTTCCGGTTAGTGGGACGGGGCGGGGGGGGCGTCCCCCAGCAGATATCACTAAACCAGGTCCCACCAGGCCCAGTTCTGCCAACGCCCGAGAGAGGTGAGGAGGAGATCGAGGGGGGGGAGGAGGTGGTTCGCCCTCTCCTGCTAGGTCGTGCTGCTGCTCTGCACCATGCTCTCGCTATGCTCGGGCTGATCGGAGGGTGACTCGTGATTGACTGCCGCGCTACTCGAGGAGGAGGAGGAGGAGGAGGAGGAGGAAGAGGAGGAGGAGGAGGAGGAGGAGGAGGAGGAGGAGGAGGAGGCACGACTCGGGTGGTGGAGCAGGAGGAGGAGGAGGAGGAGGAGGAGGAGGAGGTCGAGGGGCGACTCGAGCGTAAGACGCCCCGCAAGAGCGGCACAACCAAGGCATCGGAGCAGCAAGCGCGCTGGGAAAGGAGGGGTCGCGGTGGCCCTGAGGGTCCTTTGCGGGCCCCCCCGCGGAAATTCCAACTTGGCTTGCGAACGCACGCGCAGACGCACACACATCTATCTATATCTATATATATATATATATGAATATATATATATATATATATATATCAGAGTGCGGAGGCTGAACCGAACGGTCATTCACTGTCCCTGGGTGCGTGGCTGAAGTGGGATTCCGCGATGCGGATTATTGTTGTTGTTGTTGCTGTTGTTATTGTTGCTGTCGTTGCTGTTATTGTTGTTGTCTGTTGTTGTTTGTTGTTGTTTGTTGTTGTTTGTTGTTGTTGTCGTCGTCCCACCCGCGACCCATTCGCGACCCTCCCGCGACCCACCCCGCGACCCACCCGCGACCCACCCGCGACCCACCCCGCGACCCACCCGCGACCCACCCCGCGACCCACCCGCGACCCACCCGCGACCCATCCGAGACCCACCCCGCGACCCGCCCGCGACTCACCCCGAGACCCCCCCGGCGACCCACCCGCGACCCACGGGCGACCCACCCGCGACCCCCCGCGACCCACCCCGCGACCCACCCGCGACCCACCCGCGACCCACCCGCAACCCACCCAACCCACCGCGACCCACCCGCGACCCACCCCGCGACCCACCCAAAATTTTCGGCGCCTGCGGCGGGCTTCTTTTGCATTCGTTCCAGGTGGAGAACCTGCGACCCACCCGCGACCCAAACCGCGCCCGCGACCCACCCGCGACCACACCCACCGCGACCCACCCCGCGACCCACCCAAAATTTTCGGCGCCTGCGGCGGGCTTCTTTTGCATTCGTTCCAGGTGGAGAACCTGCGACCCACCCGCGACCCAAACCGCGTTCAGTGTACGAATCAACATGTTCGGCGCCTGCGGCGGGCTGTTTTTGAATTCCTCCCAGGTGACCCACCCGCAACCCAAACTGCGTTCACTGAACAAGTCAAAACTTCGTCGCCTGCAGCGGGTTTCTTTTGCATTCGTGCCAGGTGGAGAACCTGCGACCCAAACCGCGCTTAGTGTACAAATCCACATTTTCGGCGCCTGCGGCGGGCTGTTTTTGAATTCTTTCCAGGTAGAGGTGGAGAGCCCGCGACCCACCCGCGACCCAAACTACGTTCACTGAACAAGCAAACAAAAATCGGCGCCTGCGGCGGGCTGTTTTTGCACTCGTTCCGGGTGGCACACCAGCGATCCCTCCCGCGCTGAACTTGTCAGAGCACGACGACGAAGATGAGGACGAGGACGCGGACGAGGAAGAGGAGGAGGAGGAGCAGGAGGAGGAGGAGTAGGAGGAGGGCGCCATCAACAAGGTGAGGGCCACGAGGTCCACAGGCTCGACGCCCGCGTCGCCCGCGCCCGCCCCCTCACTCTTATCCGCAAATTCGGGGTGCTACGTACATATACATGTATGGGAGTTCCCAGGCCCCGGGCCCCGGGCCGGAACCTCCCTTTACATAGGTAGTGGCCTCCTCCTGGGACGCCCCTCCAGCGGCCCCCGCGCGTTCCAGTCCGCCCAAGAAGGCTCCAACAGCACCGGGGGAACCCCAGGATCGCTTCCAGACCGCCAAAGATCGCTTCCAGAAGGGCCAAGAGGCCCTCAAGCCGCCCCAAGAGGCCGCCAAGAGGCCCCCCAAGAGCGCCCCGGGAGACCAAAATGGCCCCAGTCCTTTGGTAAAACGTGCATTTTTAATATATCAGCTCCCTTAGACATCGGAGCGGTCAAAAAGCCCCAACAGGCGCCCAAGGACGCCCCAGGACGGCTGAGGCAGCCCCAAGACGGCCCAGGAGGGCCTCCCGCGACGCTCCTCCGGCGGCCCCCGGGCCTCCCAGTCCGCCCAAGATGGCCCAAGAGACTTCCCGTCGCTCCGAGAGGGCCCGGGAGCGCTCCGATACGGCCCAAGATGGCTTCCAGAAGGGCCACCAGGCCCTCAAGACGCCCCAAGAAGGCTCCAAGAGGCCCTCCAAGAGTGCCCCGGGAGACAAAACCTTTGGAGCGCTACGTGCCCGGCGCTCCCATCTCTTCCTCCATTGCTGCTGTGGTCTCCTCCGGCTGAGGGGAACATTGCACGTCTAGGATGTCTCGCCCTTCTGCCAGCCCCCTCAGAAGACGGAAGACCTGCGAGGGCGGTATCGGCAACGTGTGGTATTGGTGGGGTGGTATGGGCAGTCGGAGTTTCAGTCCCAGTAGGGTGTTTAGCGAGATGGCGAGGCGAACGAAGAGGCGATCTCGTTCGCGCGCCTCGGTACGCTGATGGACCATTTCCCACACAGCACACCACACTTGAGCCAAAGTTCACGGACAGCATCGCGTCTGGAACGGGAGGGGCGTTGCCACCCTTCCCGTGCCATGAATACGCGGCGAGCCCATCGCGTGCAACCACGCAGCAAAAAGAAACGCATGGGCCCGTACCGAACGAATGATGGGTCCATGTCCCCACCATGTGGTGTTATGCCTCACGCACCACACAAAACGGCGTTGAAATTGTTATACCAATTTTCGGCCCCTCGCCCAGAAACCAGTAGATTGGGTGTACTGGCCTATCCTCTGCTGCATGCCGTGCTATTCTATGCCTCACGCACCGCACCGTACGGCAGCAACGAAAAATTGGCGTTGGGGGTCACCGTTGGCAGTACGCAGCATGAGAGGGGACCATGTCGTTAACTGTCCCTCCATGCGGAACTCAAAACAGAACTACGAGGATGGGCTGGCCGCCCCCAGAATTACATCACCTGCAAGCCCCCCGACCCACGGAACTGGCCCCATTCCTTTCGTAAAACATATATTTTCAGAAGAGCCCCCAAAAGGCCCGAAGAGGCGCCCAAGAACGCCCCAAGACGGTCCAGGACAGCCCCATATACACATCATATAAATAAATTGGCCCCCCGACCCACGCTCCTCCTCTTCGGCCCGCCGCGCCGCTCATCCGGCAGGGGCGGGCGCCGAAGCTATGCGAGCGCGGCTCGCTGGGTCACGGGAGCATCCGCAGTCATGCCAAGCATTGGCGCGCAGCGCCCCAAGAGAGAAGCAGCAATGGCCCCGGGCTCGGGCGCGTGCATTCGATGTGGCGGGGCGCCCTGGCTGCGAAGCCAATCTCAAAAATCAACGGCAAAGGCGCGCGAGGATGCTCACTGATCCCCCCGCCACGCAGGCGGCTGCAGGCGGCGCGCGCCAGCAGCAGCCGCGGCACGGTCCAGCAGCTCGCCAATCAGCTGCAGGCCGAAGTGGGCGCGGATACGGCCCATCACGGCGGCAGCGAAAACCTTGGTCAAACCGTCGGCCCGCTGCTCCTCCGAGGAGACCTTCTTGAGCAGCAGCGTGCCCATGCCGACCCGGCTGCGCAACGCTGCGGCTCGATTAGCAAGCGCACGCGTGCGCCAGTTGCCCTGCCCCGCGGCGAGGAGGAGGCTGGCGGCATTATCACCCCAGAGCGTCGGCGTAGAGCCACATGTGCCGACTGCGATGCTGGCCATGGCCGCCTCCGCGCCCTCCAGCATCGTCACGCCCACGTTCAAGGCCGTGACCTCCGCCTCGGCGGTGCTGCGGGCCACCTGCGGTTGCTTCTGGCTCCGCCAGTCGATCAACGCGCCACATAGTTTCGCGGACTTAGCTCGAGTAGCAGACCGAGTTCAGACCTTTAGATGCAACAGATGAACGCGCCTGATGATTCTGGATCGGTTTCTGTGCATACCAGCCCTGTAGCTATCCTGAATCTCGAGTTAAGTACAGAACACCGTCAACGCGTGTCAAGATGACACCGCAGAACATTGCCACGCCCGTCCGAGCGGTCTCCGTCTCGAAGCCGGCGCCTGCGAAGACGCCCAGGCCGAGGGAGGGCAGCTCGGCGCAGCTGGCGCTCGGGCCGTCGGGGCCCTTGGCCGATCACCAGGGCGAAGCCACGAGTGCCGATCCAAGTACCGCAGAGTACTCCAGATTTCGCAATAAAAGGGAGGGGGTCTGGACCCTCCAAGACAAGCCATTTCAGACCTCCCCCGTGGGAGAAGCCTCCAAAACATCGTCACCAGACCCCCCAGGCCCTCCAAGATAGCCTGGAAGAGACCCCCCCCGAAATGAGACCCCCCTCCCTTTATTACGAAATCTGGAGTACGCTTGCCCAGCCGCAGCGCCCAGTCGGGATGGCTGCATGCAGAGCTGCGGAGGCGAGAGGTCGCGACAGACGCGTCGGGGCGCGGCCTCGTAGCAGGCCAAAGCAGGCCTCCTGCCGTCCGCCGGGCCGCGCGGGCGGCTGCTGGGTCAGCTTCGCCATCCTCCGGCGTGCGAGGATCGGGTCGGGCGAAAGGGGGGTTTCCTCCCGGCGCCGGGAGGCGCCGGGAAAATCAGCTACGTGAGCTGATTCTCAAACCCCCCCTTTGCTATCCCCCCTTTTCGCCCGACCCGAGAGGAGGCAGAACGGGCTCGAGCGCGAGGGCGTGCACGCCGCTGGCGTCGCCCGGGCCCCACTTGGCGAGCAGGCAGGTAGGGGCCCCGGTGCGCGATCGGCTCGGGCCCGCGCGCCTCGATCTCCAGCCCCAGGCAGGTCGCCATCCCCGGCGCTTCCCAGCCTCCTCCTCCTCCTCCTCCTCCTCCTCCTCCTCCTCCTCCTCCTCCTCCTTAACCACCTCCTCCCGTCCTCCCCCCCAGATTGGGCCTGGCATCCGTAATGTCACAGGTAAAATCCTGCCTCCTATCCGGCTCTGGACCGAGCATGTCCGGGTAGCTTTCGGCAGCGACTCCAGCTCGTCCAACGCCCCTTCGGGCCCCAAGCAGATGAAACCGTCGACGCAGGCGAGAAGGAGGCCGAGCAAGAGGCGGCCCGACTCCAGCTTCGGCTCCGCCGCAGCGAACACCATCTAGGCACTTGGGTCGCACCTGCTCTGGACCAGCTTCGCCGGCACGCCGTCGACCAAGAATTGCATTGCCCGCATGTCGTTGTCACGCTTGGCACCCCAAGCCCTGGGGGCAATCCGCAGTCCACAGATCCTTGTTCGCAACCCAAAGCACGTCTGGTCCAACGAGGCCAAAATCGACGAAGAGCTTGGGAGGACGAAGAACGACGCGACCGGCCTCGGGGGGAAGAGGGGCATTGAGAAATGCCGTGCTCACGTCGAGAGCTTGGAGTTTCCACCTGCACCGAGCGGCCACTACCAGGGCCAGGCGCACGCTGGAGATCTCGACGTTCTGCGTGTAGACGACCTCGTCGGGCTGCTTCGCCTGGAAACTCCCGCACACCACGCCCCTGACCTTCTTCCTCCTCCTCTGCTGGGCGTCCCCCGGTTTGGGAGGCTTGATGCCTGCGACCACCTTCATCGGCAGGATCTCGCTTGCCCTCACTCCGCCGCGGTCCGCAGCGGGCAGCTCGTCGAAGACCGCGTTCGACCTGTAGCTGGACAGCTCGGCCGCCATCGCCTGGAACCACTCCTCCCTCTCGGCTCCCACGGCGCGCCGGAGCTCCTGGCCGGGTCCGGGGCTGCATCCCCGAGTCCTGAGCACCTCGCGGAACTCGGGCAGAGACGCGACGGCCATGCCGTCGCGTCGGCACCGCTCCTGGCCGCGCGGGTCGCGGCGGGCACCGCCGGCGTCGACGGGCTCCTCTTGATGACCACTCGCGCCCTGCACAGTCGGCTCGAAGTCCACGAGGCGTTTCCCCAGCGCCGCGGCTCTCGGCAGCCTGGGGTCCCCGGAGGCCTCTCGGGGAACATCTCTGGCCGGCTGCTTCCCGCGGTAGCGCCTCCTCTGCTAGCCCGCGGAAGCTGGCGCAATTGGGGCAGGGCCCCTCCTGCATGTGTCGTCGCGCCCGTGAGCCTGGTGGGCACCGTGGCACGCAGGGCACGTGATCACCCCGTCGGCCCGATCGATCCGAAGACCATCGCTGTCACCAGCTCCGCTGGTGCCAGCTGCATCCTCCTCCTGAGCTCCTGCCGCGTCCTCCTCCTGAGCTCCTGCATGCTCCTGCTGCTGCCAGCTGCAAGACCTGGCTGCCGGTCGGATCCCGCCTCGCCGGAAGCGGCCGCAGCGGCGCCGCCTGACGATTCGACCAGCGAACGGCGTGGCGGCGGCGGGTGCGGAATGAATCTGGACGAGGTCTCGAAAACCCACTTCGTCACGCCCGGCTTTGTCTGCTTGTACCCCACCAGCGCCGACTGCGACACGTAGTCGGCGATGCCCAAGAACACCCTGTCAGCGGCGCGCGGCGCGAAGCCGAAGACCACCGGCTGCTTGATACTCGCCGCAACCATGCTGCCGAAGGTTGGGCACGAGGTCGGGCGGCCCTGCGCCTCGCGCCTCTGCAGCGCGGCGGCGTGCTGCACAGCAGCGGGCCACAGCTGCTCGCGGTCGGCTGGCTCCAGCGCGACCAACATAGCGCGAGCGCGCTGCTTGATGACCCCGATGCCCCTCTCAGCACGCGGATGGTTATTGGGTTCCCAGCCGGGCGTGCTCGCGACAAGGATCTCATGCCCTGCCACTCGCTCACGAACTCGAGGTCCCGAAAGCTCGTGAGCACCGTCGGCATGTCGAAAGACGCACCGCGTCTGAAACTCCAGGCTCACCTCTGCGATGATGAGCTCGAGAGCCTTCCCCACCTCGTCGGCCGCCTTGGTCTGCAGCGGACGCGTGTAATACCACGCGCGGCGGCCTTTCGCCGCATCGCCTGGCAGGTCCACCAGCAGCTCCGCGGGCTGCTCGATGACCTCGCCGTCGACGCCGCCTGGCACTGGCACTGCTGCGAATGCCATCGCCTCGAAACCCGCCGCTCGCTGAGCGACCGCGCCGGCCGGCCCTCCGGTCGACCCCCCGGGGCTTCCGGGGTCTGCTGCGCCATCCTCCTTGCCCACCTCCAGAGCGGCGAGGACGGCGAGGAGGAGGAGGAGCCCGTGGACGAGGAGGAGGAGGAGGAGGACGGGCGGACGGAGGCACAGAGCCGCGCTCGAAAGGCTCGAAAGGACGGGCGGGAGGAGGAACATGGGGAGGGGGAGGAGGACGGAGACAAACGAAGGAGAAGGAGCATGAGGCAGGAGGGGAAGGGGCGCTTGTTTTTGGCCGCCGCCTCCTGCTCGGCCACAGTGAAGACAGAGCACGCGCACAGCACGAAGAAACGGGCCGGGCGAGGGCAGTCCTCTTGCAGAGCCGACGGCCACCGTGCATACGGATGCGGACCTGAGATGTCCGCCGACATCTGCCCGCCTGGCCGCTCCCTGGCGCCCAGGCGCCAGCGGGGGCGATGCCGGCCAGCGGCTAGACGGCACTCCGCGCAATCAGCACGGAAGTGCGGATGCCCAGCAGCGCGGTGTTGCCCCAGGCGCTGCTGCACCACCGCGGCCCGCACACAGTCCACAAACCTGGACGCGCCGATCTGCGCGCGGCGCAGGCGGCGCATGCCTCGGAGCGTTTCGGCTTGCACCTCCGAGATGAAGACCGAACCGTCGCGGTCAACGACAAGCTCGATGGCGCGGCCGCCGGGCAGCGAAATGGCCGCCCGAGCAGGAGACTTCGCCAGAGGCCTGCCCCACGGCAAGGCCTAGCTTGATGGGCACGCTGCCTGGCGGCGGGGCCTGGCCAGTCCAGAGGTGCCACAGCTCGTGGCTAGCGCCCGAGTCGCACAGCAGCATCTCTGGCATGATGCGTCCATGGCGCGACGCGGCGACGGTGGCTCCCTGGAGATCCAAGCGCAGCATGCGCATGACAGGCTGCTGCGGCTGCTGCGGCGGCGGACGCGCGTCGGACAGTGCGAACGGATCGCCTGCCTGGCCGCTCCAGTCTGCCCGGTAGCCGCTGTCGGCCTGCGCGGCGAAGCTCTGCATGGCGCGCGCGACCGCCTGCTCGATGCTCTGGGCGCTCAGCGGCTGCTCCGGACGCTGCTCCGAGACAGTGGCCGCAGCTGCCCTTGGAGGCTGCTGCTGCTGCTGCTGACCCCCGGCGGCGGCGAGCGGCCGAGGCGCAGTGCACTGCGCCTTCGGGTGCTGCTTGCTGCCGCAATTGAAGCACTTGTTCTCGTGGGGCTTCAACTTGCAGTGCTTGCGCGTGCACTGGCCTCCGTTCATGCAGCCCTTGTCGGACTCCAAGTGCCGGCACAGCTGGAGGCCCGTGGCGGCGGCGGCATGCGCATCTTGCTTGCCACCTTTGCCCTTGTCGTCCTTTGCCTTGCCCTTGCCGCTCTTGTCCTTGCCGTTGCCCCTGGGGCTCGCCGAGCCCTTCGCATTAGCCAGGGCGGCCTCCAGGCGAGCGATCTAAGCACGGACACCTCGATCACCGGCAGCGGCCTGCTTAGGCTGCGGGGGATGTGCGCCCGAAATCTCACGGCTCTCCGCAGACAGGTACCTCCAGTACTCGCCCACTTGCCGCTGAGTCGCCGTGGACGCGCCGCTCAGGCCGTGCTGGGTCTCGAACGAGTTCAGGCAGAACTCGAAGATGTGGGACTGCTCAATCATGCGGCCCACCATTGTCCTAAGCGTTGCCAGATGCAGGACGGGATCGGGCGGTTGCATTTGCAGTCGCTGGAGCAGAACAAGATCGAATTGCCAGCGCTGCAAGCACGAATGCACGTTCTTGACGTCGACGGGGCCGTTGCCCCGGCGCTCGACGGCCTCCAAGACGTCAGTCTTGTCCTTCAGCGTCCACGGGCCTGCCCACACCAGCGTCGCGAACAGCACCTCTACCGTGCTCGTGGCTCGCGTCGCCAAGGCCTCCCGGCGCACAGTCTCAGGCACGCTCTCCAGTAACACCGCCCTGAGCTTGAACTCGATGTCCAGGTAGCGGGCGTCGTCATGCCAATTCAGCTGTGGCTGGATCATCGGGCGGTCCATCGGCTGGAGCTTGAGGTACTCTTCATACGCCTGGTAACTATGCCACCACCTGGACGCGCTGGAAGAAACTCCCCATCAAGCGGTGCCAACCTCCGACTCGGAGTGCAACCCGCTGCAACCAGTCGTCCAAGGCCGATGCCCGAGGCTGGTTCGGAGACACCTCCAACTTCTGCAAGTCGCCGTCCTTCAGCTTGGCCAAGACGGTGTCGAGGCCGCTGGCGCCGTCAGGGACGTTGGTGGCTGCAGCGGCGGCGGCGCCACCAGGAGGTGGTGGAGGAGGAGGCGGCGCACCTCCGACAGGCACATCTCCTCCATGCCCGCGTCCTGGGTCATCTGGTCCTCCTCCGCTGCCACCTCCGGCTCCAGGAAATCCTCCGGCTCCGGCTCCAGGAAATCTTCCGCCCCCAGCTCCAGGAAATGGCGTCGGCAAGCCTGCCGGAGGCCACGGCGTCGGCAGCCCAGGCGGCAACCCGCCAGATTGCTGAACCGGCGGAGGGGGCTGCAACGGCAGCTGAGTGCCTGAAGGTGCAGTCGCCTGGGAGGCGGCCTACGCCTGCGGGCCCTCGGCCGCAAGCATCGCCGAGGCAGGAGCCGATGCGGCGGGGCCCGAAAAACCATCGGGCAATAACACTGCGGCGGCACCTGCGGTAGATGGCTGCTGCTGCTGATGC